GACATCATGTTTGGGAGAGTGGAGGGACGACGCAGGAGAGGAAAACCTTCGATGACATGGATTGATTCTGTGAGTGGAGAGGTGGGAATGAGTGTGTTTGAGACGGTGATGTTGGCGTAGAATAGAACAGCGTTTAGAGCTCTCGTACATAGGGTCGCTATGAGTCGCAAGCGACTTGGTGGCACATAACAACAACAACAACCGTCAAATCGGATCTGACTGGTACAGAAGGAGATTGTCTCTTCTTCTCCAACAAAGCATCTGGTGGATTCGAACCACACGCCTCTGGGAGTGTAGTGCAGCTTCTTGCCACCAGGCCACCAGAGTTCCCTAAATCCATAATTTCTAACATTAACAGCTCTATCCATGGCTCAGTTCCGCAAGTTCTCTATGAATTTTGGGTTTGGTGATTTGCTAGAAGGTCCTCCAGAGACTCAGGCCCATCAGGGGAATGACTCATACCTGTAGGCTGGCTTTGCGCAGGAATAGGTGAGCAACGGGTCAGACTGGATGCAACTAGATGCTGAGCCCATTGTATATGATTTCTCAGTCCAGACAACAGTCCAGCAGCCTTGCACTAAGTTAGCATTGTCATGGTGCTGCTCCTGTGTTGGTGTTTTCACACACCCCGCAGTGTGGAGAGAGCTCTCTACTGTTGATCCCACAGCTATTGATGATTATATGTTGATATTGTTGTTGTTGTTAAGTGACCCTATGTACAATGACTCTAAACCCTGCTCTATCCCTTACCAATCTTATTGTCTCCGACATCCTATCCCCATTACCCCAGTGACTGAATCAATCCATCTCATTGAGGGTCTTCCTCTCCTGCGCTGTCCCTCCCCCCTCCCAAGCATGATGTCCCTCTCCAAGGACTGGTCCGTCTTCGCAATATGTCCAAAGTGTGTCATCAAAGCCTCAGAATCCTTGCCTCCAAGGAGCAGCTTGGCTTCACTCTTTCCAGGATGAACTTGTTTGCTCTCCTAGCAGTCCATGGAATATTCAACACTCTTCTCCAGCACCACAGCTCGAAGGCATCAACTCTCCTTCTATCATCCCTAGTCATTTTCCGGCTCTCTGATGCATAGCAAATAATTGCAAAGACCATGGCCAGACTTGACATCGTTGCTCTTCAGTACTTTGGAGAGGTGATACATATGTCAAATTTCCTCAATCTACTCTTTAAAAAGGTAACTTTTGCAAGAAGGTGCACTGCAATTCCACAAGGACATGGTTCAAATCCAACAGATGCTCTGCTGGAGAAGGAGGGGCAACGTCCTTCTGTACCAGTCAGATTCGGTTTGATGGCATACATACAAAAAATAATAAAATAAAAAAATTTAAAAAGATAGCTTTTAATAGATCAATCAAATCGCATTTCTGTGTAAATATGGCTTTAGAAAACCAACCAAAGAGGACGGAGAAGGGAAGAGGAAAGGGGGAGAAGAGAGCTGGTTTTCCTAGTCTTATGAAGAAAAAGCCTCTCTCTCTCCCTCCCTTTCTCTTTGTTTCTCTCTCTCTCTCTCTCTCTCACACACACACACACATATACACATACACACACACACACACACATTCACAGGGATTCAAGGATGGAAAACCACAAAATTAAAAGCACTTGTTTAATTATAGTGACAGAAGGAAGTAGTTAAGAGCCTGAGCTTTAAGTTTTCCACTGTATGCAAAGATGTAAAATATAACAGCACAGGGCAGCTCTGGTGGCCTAATGGCAAGAAGCTGTACTG